ATCCACGCATCCCCGCATCCCCGCATCCACACATCCCTGCATCCACGCATCCCTGCATCCCTTCATCCCCGCATCTATGCATCCATGCATCCCTGCATCCCCGCATTCCTGCATCCACGCATCCCCGCATCCCCGCATCCACACATCCCTGCATCCACGCATCCCTGCATCCACGCATCCCTGCATCCCTGCATCCACGCATCCCTGCATCCCTTCATCCCCGCATCCATGCATCCCTGCATCCCTGCATCCCTGCATCCCCGCATCTATGCATCGACGCATCCACGCACCCCCGCATCCACGCATCATTGGAAGCGGTGGGGAATTGAGCGAGCGATATCTCTCCTCGCTTTACGATGAGATGAAAGTCGAATATTACGTAGCTAGACGTTATCTAGCGCTTCTTTCTCTAGTAAGGATGGTCGTAAAGTGCGTTTCATACCAGTGAGTGCGTCGAACGAAAGAAAGACGGAGAGAGAAGAGCCGAGCGGGATAGGGAGAGAGAAGGAAAGGTGTGGTTGTGTGTGAAAGTAAGACAGAAAAAACGAGGGTGAGGGAGTAAGAGAGACAAGAATAGAGAGGGAGATTGCGCGAGAGAGAAAGAGAGACACAGAGTGAGACAAGGAAAAGATAGAGCGCGACAAGAAAGACAGAGAGAGTGAAAAGTGTGTGTGTGTCAGTGTGTCAGTGTGTGTGAGAGAAGGAATAAAGAGAGACACTGCGAGTGAAAAAAGAAGGGTAGATAGAGAGAAGGTGAGCGAAAAGGAGAGAGAGGGGAGAAAAAGAGAAAGCGAGTGCGAGAGGAAAAGAGAGATCAAACACCGATGAAACCCTAGCAGCCGCAAGACATCGATGGGGCTTCTAATTAATGGTTAGATGTTTTTAATTAAATAATTATTGTAATAAATTGTGACAGTTTGCGTTTCGAAATCAATTTGCGTTACACGGCAATTGTGATACGTGTATAGGATGAGCTTAGATCTCCTACCCCATTTTTCTCCTACTCTTTCTCTCTGTCTCTCCTTCCCTCCGGTTCTTTCACTCTGCATCTGTTTCGCTCGCTCTTTCGTTCCTTCACCGCCTCTCTGTCTCCTTTTCCACCCTATCTTCCCCCCATCCCCTGCCTGAGCTCTCTCTCTCTCTCTCTCTCTCTCTCTCTCTCTCTCTC